TTTCTTTATAAATTTAATTCTGTGTTAAGCTGACAAGTTTTCTTTTTCCTCTTATTATTTTTTTAGAGATTTTTTATCAGGATATACGAGAATGTGTGTCGTCGTTTTTTGATTTTTTTTGGCGTTTTTTTTTTTTTTAAACCTTTTTATGCAATAAAAGTATAATTCTTAAAAAAGAAAAACACCGAAAAACCTCATCAATGTCTGTCAGCCACAGGCCCGCAAACGTTTTGTGTAGCAATAAATTAAAAAAAAAGAAAAAAAAAAAAAAACGAGAAAAAAAATAAATTTTATATAACACTTATAAAATATTATTTGCAAACACGCACACGCACACGCACAGGCACACACGTATATTTGTGTATACATATATACATATATATATATATATATATATACGTAGCTCTCAAGTCTATGTTTCGCCAAACTTTTATACTGCAATTGATCTCTACCAGAAACTAAAGTCATATTTTCCCCCAACAGTATCGTAACGTAACTGTTGTCATTTTTTGTTAAGCAATTAATATTTATTAAGCAACAACAATGTGATTTTAATAATTAGAAGTTTTTGTAAAAAGTATTGATTGATCTGCGACTTTTACAGGCCCGAATTGATAAAGCACTGGGGAAATACTAGTGTATATAACGATTGGATTCGATTCGGTTTTGATCTTACTCTACGTAAACGAACACTTTTTTTTTGTATTATTTAATATTCTTTTGTATTTTATTCAGTCTAAGCGGACGCCAATCATGGGGCGAACAAAATTCTTCTTCTTCTTCAAATTCATTACTTTTTCTTGATTTTTTTTTTTTTTTTTTTTTTTTTTTTTTTTTTTGAAGAAATCGGTTGGTGATGCGGCTCCATCATATCTCAATCAACGGTTTATAATTGGCGACCCGACTCGACTGGCATATGCCATTTTTTCGTCCCTTGTTGCAACTATTGAAAAAGTGATTAAAATTTTTGCAAACACCTAACATAATGTTCTTTATGATTAGGGGCCAAGAGGGACACTGTAATAGCCTGAATTGGCAAATTTGTTTTGAGTGAAAGGAAAGCAAATACAATAATCAGACGTACAATAGTTAAGCATTAAAATAAATTGTTTTGAAAAAAAGTCAACTCAAACCGATCTGTGGCACGCAATGTAATTGATCCAAATTTCAATTAAGAAAAATAAAAAAAATAAAATAAAATAAAATAATAATAATAATAATAATAATAATAATAATCATTTAAGTCTAGTACTCGTAGAATCTAGAAAATGGCACTAAGGATTTTTAGGAGCAGGAGGGTGTTCGAGCCATTGCCAGTTGTTTGTATGAAAAAAGTTCACTTCGCAACAAAAAAGGCCCTCTGCTGAGATTAACTTATTAAAAAAAAAATATCGTCGTAAAGTTGTCCTCTAGGCAATGTTGTATTTAAGGTGCTGAGAAAACTTCGAATTCGAATTCGGAAAAATTGAAAATTGTTTGAATTATGGCGCTTGACGGCACACTTGAAACACGTACTTAAGGTAAAGTTTCTTTCATCAAAGTCATTTTTTTTTTTTTTTTTTATTAATCTGCCAGATAATCTATTACGATTGAATTTACGTTTACTCGTTTACTTGCCTCGACCGTATTTTTGGTCGAAAATTCCTGTTTTGTTGCATCCATCAAATTCGAAATCGAAGATCTTACCCCTCTCACCAAATTCGCAGTCACTGCCGATGAGTTCATTTCAATCTGTTCATTTCTGGGCAGAGCGTATTGAAAATTTTCGAATCGTTTTCACTCTCATATCAACTTAACGCTTGCCTCCTCCTTTTCATACCCAATCGATATTTGAAGCGCTCTCTGACATCCGTCCGTCCTCGATGATGTAGTGCATTTTTTTGCATATTCAAATGGCGGATTGCCTTCTCCTTGATATGGGTGTCAAACAGAAGGACATGCGGCCACAGGCAATGCGACAAACTAAGTGAAATCATTGTTCTGTTGTGCATCAAATGCTGCGGACGCTACGAAATACCGAGCTATGCCTTTCTTATCAGTTCCCTTAATATGATTATCAAAGGGAAAGGCTTGGGGCGTAAGATATATAAAAAGTGGATAATAAATTGTTTTGCGCATTCACTAGCTGGAGCCATATAAAAAATCGATTTTCTTCGAACAGCAGCCTTATCTTAAAAAAAAAAACTTGTATACGTCACACCACTTGTGATACATACAATGGTGTATAATACCATTTGTGCAGGGTTTACGCAACACCCACAAAAGGGCTTGAGAGATCGATCCATATATATATATATATTATTATATCTAAGCTTGTCTCTATCCGCCTGTCCCCGTCTTGTGTTTTCTTGCGTTCAACGTACAGGTCGCAATTTTTGTATTAATTAGCCGAAGGATCCACGCGCTTCCATTGTACTAATCTGACTGAGCTGAGTCTGTCCGTTTGTCCTACATGAGGATACTTTAATGAAATTTGGTATACCAAACTTGGGGACTCCATGGGGACTACATGTAAACAATTGGTTGTATGAACAACTACTATATGGAGGATATGTTATGGTATCTAATAGCGGGGGTACAGGCTCGCTTTAATGTTTTTACTTTTATATAACATTTTTAAATGTTATGTTAGAAGAGGAAAGAATCGATGAAAGATAAACGAGAAAATTTCATTTGCAAACTTAATTTTAGTGTGTGTGTGTGTGTGTGTGTGTGTGTGTGTGTGTATGTCGCGCTATTAAAAACGATGCAATGATTGTGCTGTATATGCGCACACAATGTAATGACGAAGAGCGCTATATGAAAATTCATACAATGTACTTGAGAGTTGACAGAAGACGACGCGTAAATAATAAGCTTTTCATCAAAGATTTATTCACACATATTAAGTACGCTTTTATTATTATTATATTATTGTTATTATGATAATATTTATAGTCAAGAGAATAAAATTCGAAGGGGCTAAGGTGGCTGTCTTAAAGCACTAGTATCTCTAAGGCTTTCGGCTTTCGGCTTTCGGCTTTCGGCTTTTTTTTTTTTTTATTAAAAACTCTACCGCACTTGAGATTCGAATCCACGAGTTGTTAAGAGCTATTGCTAGTGTCGAGACTCTTGCCTATTTGGCCACTCAGGCGGATTAGGGGCGTCTTTTTTTTTTTTTGACATCGTATTCTAACTAGGGATACAAAATAAATGTATTTTGAGATTCGCAGAGATAAAAATTGATGGCCTGATTCAAGCCCATATACCATCTACATCGAATCACAAAATTGAATCGGTATTGCGGAAAGGTGACACTCAGCCCAGGTGATGATGGAACCAGAACATTAGATGTTTGTTATTCGTACACTTAAAGTATGATTAAACACTTAATACCATACGCCAGCAAGCAGCAATTAATCGATTTGAATCGTTTGCTGTTCAAGAAACTCAGCAAAAAAGCAAAGGCAAAACAAGATCATTGCTTTACATGGTATCTATATATATATATATATATATATATATCACTCCATCTGTAGGCAATAGCCACAGAGCTTTTTTTGGCGTGCCATCCACAATTTGCCAGATAAATGGGAAATGTGCGTATAGCTAGGGATGGGTAACGCTTCGATCTAATTATATATTGTTATCATTTTCATATAACACGCGTTTATTTTCTATATAAAAAATACCGGTTTCTTATCCGCACATCTGGTAAATGTTCAATTTTGTTAAATCATGATTCTCGCAACTTCTTCGCTCTTAATATTAATAATAATAATAATCATAATGTATATTTAATATTATCTTAAAAAAATAAATAATAATAATAAAAGAAAAATGAAAAATGAAAATTGATGGAATGTTGTTGGGTTTCACTTAAATAAATTTTAAAGTAAATTTTTTCAATGCATTTAAATTATTTTTAATTTTTTACTAATTGACTGTAATTTAGTATTATTATTATACTTATTATTATTATTGTTGTTGTTGTTGTTGTTGTGCTTGTGTGTGTGTGTGTGTGTATGTGCTTGTTGTGGTTTGTTATTTTTGCAGTGGTTAGAAAACAACCTGAAAATGATTAAAATGTTGATTTTTGGTTTCAATCCCATCTAAAGCCGTTTTGTTATATTTTATTTCGTACATTTTTGTGTCGAGTTACCTCCTTTGGTTTTGTAAAACAGTATTCAATTTATTTTATATTTTAATTGGATTCAATAGTTAGTTGTACAGGCAGACAGGCTAGTATACGGTCTGTGTGCTGATGGCCAATATTTGCACAAAGTGTTGGTTTTTTGATTGACAAAAGCATGCACAACAAACACATACACATACTTATATATATATATATACACTTACACACACACACACACACACACACAAACACACACATACATACATACATACATACATACATACATACATAAAACAACTGAGCCTCAAAGTGTTTTATATGTGTAAATAAATAAAGAACTTATTTGTTTTAATTAATATATTTTTTTTTTTTTTTTTTTTTGTTTTTCTTCCCAATGTGAAAATTGAAATTGAAAAGGTAGTAAATTAACAAGAAAATGCAAAAAAAAAAAAAGAAAAAAGAAAAAAGAAGAAAAAAAACGGTAAACAAAAACAAACCCTTTTTACCGAAAAAGGAGCAGCCGTCAGCTACTTATCATTTAACAGCTATGATCGGTTGGCTAGTGAGCCGGAGATTTATGTCAATTAATACTTTTTTTCATTTTTTTTTTTTTTTTTTCAATAAATTTAATTCAGAAAATTTTTCAAAAATGTTGCCTTAACACACTTAACCAAGCAATTAATAAATCACACTGTTATCAACGGCAGCAAATTTTTGTCTTTCACGATACGAGTATACATACATATATACATTCATTTAGTAAAAGTTTTTTTGTTTTTTTTTTTTTTTTTATGTATTTCTTTTCTTCGTTCGTTTCCTTTCGCTAAGCGATTAAGGTCACAGAATGAAATTTATGGTAAAGTTTGAAAAGAGCGGCAGCACTTACCTGTTGATAAGCCGGTGTCGTTAATACTGGATGTGGAAGTGGAGAGGCCAGGTTGCTTACGCCAGCCTTTACGATTCCAAAAACTTCTCGCTTTTGATTCGGTTTGCCTCGGGGCAACAACAGGACCGGGATCTTCAGCGGCTCTTATTTTTGCACAATTTAAAATGCGCCGACCGCACGAGGCTCTGGTGAAGAAACCAAATGTGTTTTGTGATTCGTCGGCACAGGCGTTGTCTGCATTATTGATACTGGAATGAGGGAATTTTTGCGTATGTTGCTTTGTTGTTGTTTGTTGATGTATTTGTGGCAAGTTTCTGATCGAAGATGAAGAGGTATGTGCGGTAGAGGCCCGTTGAAAAGAACGACAACTGTGCGTGGCATAGGCGAAGGCACTTTGAGCAGGCACATTGGTAGCATTCGCATTATTAGCCGATCGGGAATTCAGCAGAGCATTAGTTTTATGCAATCGCAAAGAACCTATATAACTGGCTCCGCTGCTGCCACTAAAACCGCTATCTAAATCACCACCTAAGCAGGTAGTAGTAGTGTGTATTATATTACCTAAAACAGATGAGGAGTTCGGTATGGGTGAAAGTAGCTCGTCAGTGGGCCCTACCGTATTTAGTAGTTCATTCAATGAGGCATCACAGATATTATCAGCGGAAGTTGACGCTAATCGCAAAGGTTGGCCTGAAGCAGTCGTAACACTCACGGTAGGAACAGGGGCTTCTTTACCAGTTGGACTATTATTTGGTGGACTCTCAGGCATAAGCATAGCTTCGACGGAAAGATTTAGCTCGCCCAGAATTTTGCGATGACGATTCTGCACTCTCCGTAACTCCTCTTCAACTAATGTCTGTGTTAGCGAGCCCGCCGAGTGTGAGGTAGCCGTAGCTCTTAGTTGATGATGACTGCTCATCGAATTTGTGGATGACGATGTTGATGATGCTGAAATTTCTTCATAAAAATTTTCTGGTGTTGCGCTAGCACAATGTGCCGACGCTGTACCTGTTGTATTGCTGCTGCTATTATTATTACTACCGCCTGTTAATCTTGTTTGAAAAGTTTGTCTTGTAGCAGGTGACACAAGCAATTTGTTCTTTTTGCCTTTTGACAGCAAAGCTCTTATTGAGTTGGGTGGCGGCGGTGTTGAATCCTCCTCTCTGCCCAATAGCTCAGCGTTAGGTATATTCGTATGGCGCATTGCTGCACCTGGCTCATAGTAAGCATACGAATAATCGTGTTGTTGTTGATGATGTTGCTGTTGTTGCTGTTGTTGTTGTTGTTGTGGTTGTTGTTGCTGTTGTTGTTGTTGCTGCTGTTGATGTTGATGTTGCTGTAACATTTGTAAACTAGTGGTCTGTTGCACATTTGACCATTGACTATGATGCCCACTATCGTCCACCTCATTACGATTAAGTCTACCTAAAGTTCTGGCTTGCCTGCTGCCGCTTGGTTTGTGGCTTGTCAAAGGCTCTTGTTCGGCACATATCTCAATGGCATCCAAGTCCTGCTCTAATTGCTGATGGTGGCGTACGTGCTTCCGATAGCTGCGGCCGCTCGAATTCATTTGAGCGGTTGCCGCGGCATTTGTGACAATTGTTGAATTGCAAGAGTTAACCGACGACGGTAGAGTGGCAGTCACTTCCACAGTTACAGTGCTTTTTTGTAACATTGTTTTTGTGCAACCACCACCGACGCCAACACTACTTAAGTTCTGTTGTTGCGGGGACGGTGGGTATTCGGGTGGCGACTGAAAATGTAAGCACTTGCCAACAAATTTAGGTGTCGTCGTTGTTATCGATGTCACAGGGGTTGACGTGGCTGCCGCTGCTGCTGCCGCATGGCTGCCACTTATAGTATTTAATTGTTGCTGTTGTTGTTGTTGTTGCTGAAATAATGCCTGATGGTCTGTATCCTCTTGTCCTCTGAAACCACTGCCACCAATATTCCCGGTTTGTCCACGTGCTAGCTGACGTTGAGTTTGCGGTTGCTGTTGCGTGTAGTAGTTTTGAGTGGTAACTGGTATCTGGTGTTGCTGTTGCTGCTGTTGTTGCTTCAAGTCCTTTTGTGCTTTGATTATACGTTGACGATTGCCTAAGCCCAAGCAAGCCTCCATGGCACATGTTGATGTAAATTGACAAACGTTTTGTACGATTTTTTTTCTTTTTTTCTTACGAGTCTCTCTTTCTCTCTCCCCCTATTTCCCTTTACTGCTTTCGATTTGATGATGACTTTTCGTTTAGTGTGTGTGTAAATGTGTATTTGCTAGCGTGTATGCGTTGAAAATAAAAAATGCCCGTTAGCATTGATTTTAAGTTGATTATCTGTAATTGAAAGATTAGTAATGACAGATCGATTAAAAACGTGCTTGCAAGCTGCGGTAGTTGTATGGTGCGGTGTTTCATTGCTAGTGCGCAGATAAGGCAAAAACGAAAATACAGCAAAGTGCACATACATATATATATATATATATATATTATATATATATATATACATATATATGTACATTCACCAGGAGGAAGGCAAAAATGTAAATGATTCGAAAATCAGATTAAAAGATATAAAGAAATTAATATTTGAACACAGTACTCTTGACTTAAGCGTTTCATAAAATAATGGACAGAAGACGGAAATGCAAAATAACGAAAATTGCGATAGATTTTATATCACATGTAAACAAATGTTTATAGCCAGACAGCAGAGTTCAACTAAACGTTTTATGTCTTCTACTTAATGTGGCTGGTGGCTGGTGGCTGGCTATCCGAAGGAATCTGTAGAAAGCTCGCTATTTAATAAACGAAGCAGATGAAGAAAAACATTTGGATTTATATATAAAATTAAAAAAAAAAAAAAAACAGTTGACACCACAACAAAAAGAAAAATTCAAATTCAATCTTGATATCTTCAAAGGAATTTATTTTTGCTCTGTTGTTTTGCTAATAACTTACTGATCGATAAGACAGTCTCTCTTTATTTTGTATTCGTATTAGGTCCTAGGTTGCAACACGGGCTTCATTTTCATTTCATTTCATGTGATCAGGAAGGAAGAAGTTTCAATATATCTTCATTTTTGGGACCGAGTGTATGTTCATCACAATCCTTTTGCAAACGAACAGACGGGACGTAAAGGACAAACTGATAGGCGTAGATCGAATCAATATTTGGCACAGATCGATATCTCGTATATATTTAAGAGATCCTATCCGAAAATTTTATTCTGGACGCGGTAAAGTTTTCGGCAAAATGAATAACGAACAGACGGGACGGAAAGGACAAACTGATAGGCGTAGATCGAATCAAAATTTGGCACAGATCGATATCTCATATATAGTTTAGAGATCCTATCCGAAAATTTTATTCTGGACGCGATAAAGATTTCGGCAAAATAAATAATTTCCCATCTTTCGGTGGATTTAAAATAACTATTAATGGCAGGAATCGAACTTGAGTCTTCAAAGTATTTGGCGAACGTTTCAACCCCTAGATCATATGGTAACCCATTATGTTTAAGCAAAACGTGTTAAACTCTCTAATGGGAAAGGAGAAAGGCAGACTATTACGAATTTAAAAGAATGACTAAAACTAATGTTTGTTGCCCCTGATCGCGTGTCGCTTATTCTTTGACAGATCCGTAAGTTACTCTACATATTGAAATTATTGATCATACGTTTATAAGGTCACCGATGAAAATTGCTCACTTCATGATTTCAATGCAATGTAACGTAAGGCAATGATTCCTAGGTCCAATCGTATCATGAGATCCCTAAGTGTGAAGCTAACATGAGAGTTAAAAATATTATAACGAAATTTTATTAGTCAGAATCAAGTGAAGCTTTTTATAAATTGTGAACACATTAGTTAGTGAATCTGATTAAGGACATTTCAGCACCGATTTTTCCGGTGCTTTTTGATTACATTTTATTTCATAATATAGAAGAAATAACTTGCAATTTATTTACATTAAACCTTTAAGATATTCGTTTACGTTTTTATTCGTATTAATTACTCTTTTTTTTTATTTTTTATTTTTTTTTTCTTTTCAAGTATTTCGCTTATCAACTTTCGTCCTTGAATATAGGTCAAAAAATTCGGAGGCTGAATTTGATCTCAGACAGACGTGGCTAACATAATTGAATATCTTGCATCACAGTCGTGTATTGATCAAAATTACTGGCGTAACTTTTCCGAAAGGGAAGCGTACGAGTTCTCAGCCTAAATAATTATCGCTAAATGTTACTACTATTATTATTATTATTATTATTATTATTATTATAAAATAAATTCTAGAACTGAAAGTAGGATAAGCACTAACTCAAGAACACTATCGGCTGCTTTTTTGAAGGTAGAGGCTTTAGCTCTTAGTTTTACATATCTTTGTGCGGCTCAACAAACCCGTTTCTCAAATGAAATGATTACTTAAGCTTCTTAAGTATGTTTTTGGTTTTTTTTTTTTCGGGAAATCGCGTTTAGCTAACTAACCGTAAAATAAGCACGTTCGAGTCGTCAAGCGATCGACTTTAAATTTCAACAGTATACATAAAATAATAATATTATGTTCATGTTATGTGAATGTTCGCTAGTGAAATAGGTATGATTTTTTTAAATCAGTGCCTTTTAACGGATTATATAAGCGATTTTTGATAGACGTCTTTAAGAAATATTTATTACTTCTTATACAACGACTATATAATATTTATGGAGAAAACGAGTTTTATTGTTCTTGTTATTACTATCATTGCCGTAAGCCAACGTAGGTATCCAGAGAAGGCATGAGAGGTTATCATGTAAGCATTTATTTGTAATCATTTCCTCGCACGAACAATAGAAATTTACGAACTTAAGACTTTGCTCGATTTTCCTCTAAACTTATTCAAGCTAATCATCGAACGATTTTCAAAATTATCGATAACGCATATCAGTATCGAGCTGCAAGAACACTAAAAGTACGTCCAGCCAATGAGGTAGAAATACTAAACCTTATTAGGAATAGCATCAATTCGATCTTGAAAATTACAATTACTCTCCATCAAAACGTTGGACGAGATTAGCAATCTAAAGTTTATGTGGTCACGGAAGGAGAATTAAAAAAAAAAAAAAAAAAAAAAAAAAAAAAAAAAAAAAAAAAAAAAAATTGGAAAAAAGAAGAATTTCTCATGTCCAAGTTTGATAAAAGCAATCTTTCAAGTTAACTACTTGAAGGTCTACCCTCTTAAGTAAAAAGGTGGGAATATTTTAATCGTCATTATTTCAATATAATTAATTACGATTCGAATAAAATTTAATATGAAACTGTCGAGAAGGTGAAAGCATAAGATGATTGTAGGATATCTTTGGAAATAATTTCATTCAATCAATTTCCTATACCCTATATACATACGATAGTCAGTTTGCAAACGCATGCTTATCTATTTTAAGATGTACACTCTATATACCCTACATATATAAACATTCATAATTAGTTGAACAAACGTACGTAAGTATAATAAATAGTGCACTCAAGTTCGCTATTATGTGAATGAAATTTTAAAAAGAGATTTTCAGTTTTTTATCCATCCCATCCAGTTGTACGCGAACTGTAAACGTACCCTTTCACGATATTCCGCGAATGATTATGGATTAGGTTAGGGCATTTTCACGATTTACTTAGGCTTAGGAAGGCTTAAATCCCTTAAATCCCATTTTACAGAGAAACACACATTCTTCAGAGATTTGGGGCTGCACTCACCTAAAGAGAGAGTACTGTGCAAAATTTCAAACTGACCGATAACACATTTAATGTCTTTTGTCCCCTACTTAACTTTAACTTTCAGCCTTGATATCTTTCGAGGTAGAATTTTGTTATATAAGATTTGTGAAAAGTTTATGATAATCGGGTAAAAAAAAATTGCCTTTTTTTTTTTTTTTTTTTTAAAACTCTAAATTTATTTTAAAAAAAAATTAAATTAAAGTTATATTTTTTAAAAGCCACGCCGCTTAAATTTAGGACAAAATATACAAACGGAAATGGATAATTTATGCGAAGCAACAAAAACGAAAGTAATTTACTTGAATAATTATGTAATTGGTTATGAATACAATATATTAGTTTGTCCTTTCAGTACAAAAATTCAAAAATTCAAAAATTCAAAATCAAAGCATTATAAGTAATAAGTTTAGACGACAATAACTGTGACGTTGACAATTGAGTTTACTGTCATTGAAAGCGTTAGAGGAACGTCATAAATGGGAAGCGATGATGCGCAATTACCGCAAAATGTAGTAAATAGTTACAGAAAATAGTAACAAAAACAATAACAACAATAACAACAATAACCATAATAGCGATTGTAACAAGAAAAGTGTGCGCTGCGCGTTTTAATTTTTTTGCAAAATGGCAAAAAAAAAAAAAAGAAGAAAAAATATATGGAAGAATTTTGTTAATTAGCAGCAATTAATCTGTGGAGTGTAATTCATACTTGTCAGCATAACAGCAACAGAATACGAGTATGTGGACGACATGCATAACTCATGTAATAGCACACATATAAAGTGATGAATAGAGAGTATAGAATGAGTATAGTACAATGTACTCACATAGGCACACGGCATACTGCAGCACGGCATCACTGATTGTGATGGTAAACAGTTGTTGGGACTGACGGAAGGACAAGACGCATAGTCATTTACAATAGACTTCTTTTGTTTAGCGACTTGTCGTGTGCTTAGTGTGCTAAAGCGTGTTTTCTGCAAACGTTATTGTTGTTATTATTATTGTTGTTGTTGTTGTTATAGTTGTTGTTGTTGTTGTTGTTGTTGTTTTCGTTTTCGTTGTTTTTGCTGCGGTCGTTCATGTATGCACACCGCATCGTTGCCTTTAGAGATATTCAACGTATTGTTGGGTGACAACAAATTGTTTTCATTCATTCATTCATTCCTACTGTCATAGTTGACTTTATATAGATAGTGCTAGAAACAATCCAGTCAACAGAGAGACAGACAGACAGACAACCAGACAGACAGACAGACAAACAGACACACACATACACACACACACACACACACTTACGCACACATCGACCGACGAACATGGACTTGGATTGTTTGCCCGCTTGCTGGATGATGTTGTACAACTGCAACGTGCTTTTTCTCTTATTCTGTTGTTGCTGCTGCTGCTGCCATAACTATTCTCTGACTCCTTCACATATATGGAGAGATGTAATTAGTACCCAACTGCCTTCATTAGGTTAGGCGTGAGTGCGTTCGTGCAAGCGTACGCATGTTGGTCACATCTCTATGGTACGAACAAGTATGTTTTTCATAGTTGTTGTTGTTAATGTTGT